CTTTGCGCTACATCCGATAGGTAAATTTGACCTCGTTTTATCCACTTTGTTGGGCAAAAGGAGCCCACAGGTAGACAATAATATATATATATATATTCTGACAAACCCCGTTCACCAAAAATTCGCTATAAACAAGCAGCTAAACACTTTTGTAATTGCTGCACTCTAAACGCAGATCAGTTGGAATGATTCATCTTCGGAAAGTGCTGAAATTTTGTGTTCTAAGAACGAGTTATGTGGCTATTTGTTCCAGCGGAACTTCATGATGCGCGGATTAGAGCTACACTGAATTAACCATGGAATAACCTATTTTAACCACAGTACGGCCGCTCTATTTGGGCTGCCGGGAATACTCAGTTTGTTTAATTTCTTGAGTTGTTAATGCTGAACATTTCAAACATTTATGTCATGTGGAAGGAGGCGCTTAAGTTTCACCAGAAACACTGAATGTAAAGGCTGCAGGTGAAGGTGGTTAGACGATTTCAAACTGGGTTGGAATTTCTTGCGAACTGCTCCAACACTCAGCCCTAGTGGCGTTTGGATAGAATAATAAGCAAAAAATGTTCAGCTGTAACACTTTCGATGCCGTGCTCTCCGAATAATTCACGACAGCTCAGACACTGTCACGTTGCCGAAACTCAGACAGGAGCAGTCGGAATGCTGAGGTTGGGTTCGGACCACGGAACTTCGGGCCGGTGAGTCACATTTTAATCATTGAACTATCTCAGGCTAGTTTGGACGGAGCGCGTACCAGCCAAACATACGCCTCCATACGTGCGGTCTGATGTATAGTTTTAAACATAAGGTTAGAAGGAAAGAGGGAACGTGATAGCACGGTCGGTCCAATGGGACTACTTTGGTTGTCCGTATAGTAACGTTTTCTGGCGTTCTGACTATACGGTCCTCAAAATATTCCATCGAAGGAGCGCAGACCATGTCGCCAGGCAGTGGGATCCAGTTGCGTTTGACTTGAACAGTTAACCAGTCTTCACGGCAACCCAACATCTAGTGCTGTGCGAATATTTTCAATGGATGACCCCCAAGCTATTTAGCATGTCACAACATGGGTGTGGTGAATTCAGAAAAACGTTGTGGTCAAGCTTTCGGTTGCCCAGAAATCCTAGGTAAACCAGTGGGTAAAATAAATGCATATTGTCGACACTGCTTGGTTGCTGACTCAACAACCTGCTCACCAATTTGTTGTGATTGTCCTTATGTTCGTGTACATTGCTTAGGTCGCGGACTCCAACATAGTAAGGCGTATACCAGATGCGGCTCGTTATATTTTGTTAACAGAGTCAAGCTTTCTGAGTAACCTTTATAGCAGACAAGGTTGCTTATCGAACTGTACAATGGTGACGCAGTTCCTACTTTATCATTATTCCAACGTTGGGTTTGCATGTTGATCACCATCATCATCAAAGACAGCAACATCAGTGTTGGCACTGATGCTTCACTGCCGTACAACCATAAGGTTCGTCTAGTTATATATATATATATATATAATTGTATTAAAAGCCCTACGGTGAAGAGAAGAGAAAAAGAGTGGGTGAGGGAGGGAA